TTTTCTACAAAGATAAATAAATAAATATCATACATTTTGGTAAAACTATATACCCCTAGAGTTTGGCCTAATTACTAATTGGTCCCAGATATGTTTGAAAATTGCAAAAAATTCCATGAGAAAATGATAAGTTTGTTACTAATTATTTATTCAATAGTAATACTGAATTAAACATTTGTCTATTGCAAATGGAGCTGAAAGAGTCATTGTCGACAATTCTCCTGGCATAGTGCTAATAATAGACTAGATCAAAATGACTTAATTAAATTCTAGTGCTTCTTCTATTAGTGAAGTTTCTAGAAAAAAAAAAAAAAATATATCAAACGACGCAATGCACCTTGGGTCGCTACGGAAACAACCTCCTTGTATAATTATAAGGATAAAGTCTGCGTACAACTGACCCCAACCAGTTAGGAATATACTGGGTATGTTGTTGTTGTTGTTGTAATACTGAACTAAACCTAATTTTTCTGACCATCATTTATCGTTTTTATTTTTTACTCTTCAAAAACTTAATTTTGGATCATTTTTTTTTTTTCACTTAATCAATGAATTAATCTATAAAGAACACAGCACCGGCGCCGGATCCCGGTGATGTCGGAGGTCAGGCGGTGGCATTGAAGGTCTCCGGCGACCGGTCGGCTTTCTACGGTTGCGGTTTTTATGGAGCACAAGACACTCTACATGAGGCAAAAATTCAGTTTTGGTCCGTTAACTTGTCCATTGTCCACTTTTGGTCCGTTAACTTGTCCTTCATAAAAAATGGTCCATTATGTTACATTTTTCATCAGTTTTAGTACACTACTCCAGTTGGCGGGATTACGAGATGATGTGGACCGGGATTGGAACTACGTGGAGGGATAAGATGTTGACGTGGTAGGATAAAAAACTGATTTGGCATCTCGTAATCCCGGGCCACGAGATTAGCGTACTAAAATTGATGAAATGTGTAACATAATGGACTTTTTTTGATGAGGGACAAATTAGTGTACCAAAAGTGGACAATGGACAAATTAGCGGACTAAAATTGGATTTTTGCCCTCTACATGATGATGAAGGCAGGCATTACTATAAAGAGTGTTTTATACAGGGATCAATTGATTTCATTTTTGGAAATGGTAGATCACTTTTTGAGGTATATTTTTTTTTTTTAAAAAAATGATAATTTATATATCCTAATAAGGAACAAAAAGTATTTAATCACATTTTAATGATGTGTTTTCTCATCTTAGATTTTATGAACTAATTAGTAGTTTCCTTTTGTTAATTATTTGATTAAGTCATTTAAATTAAAGAATAATGCTCATTCAAAATATTCTAGAAAGCATTTTTATAAATTAATATCCATTAGCTAGTTTATTCATTAAGTCAAATCTAAGGCTAGCTTTCTCGATTACACAGGATAATGTGATTTCAAATAGTTGCAAAGTTCTAGAAGATTCTAGAAAAGAGGCTACAAGTTACAACTTACAACCCACTTTTAACAATTATATATATCTATGATCTATCCATGCCAAAAAATTGTTGTTGATTATACCTAACGGTTAGACAAACGTACATTTTCAAATTTTCAATGTCATATTATAAAAAACAACTCAAACAAACGTACGATGGCTCACATTATATTTATGTACTTTTGTTCGTAAAGTATTACGGTTCAACCAACTTAACCTTTAAGTTGTCTCACATCAGAATTTGTGATATACGCGTATGGTAATTATCAAACTTTTTTTTTTTCCCTTTAACATTTGTAGGACTGCACCATAAATTCGACGGCAAAAGAAGTAGCATCTGGTGGTGGGGTCAGTGGCTCGATCACAGCGCAAGGGAGAAACTCGCGGGGCGAGAAAACGGGATTCTCGTTCGTGAGGTGCAGCATCAGTGGAAGCGGAAGAGTGTGGCTCGGAAGAGCGTGGGGACGTTACGCGACGACTGTTTTCTCTAGAACGTACATGTCTCGTGTAGTGGCTGATGAGGGGTGGAATGATTGGGACGACTCCTCTAGAGACGAGTACGCTATTTATTATTATTGTTGTTGTTGTCTAATTTTAAACCTATATTCCCGATGATAAGTGTGGCATGTTATTTAAAAATACATTCTAATTAGTTCTTCCGTTAAATAATTTTTGGTATATACACTTTCTACTAGCCTACTAACGCCTATATATGAAGTAATAAGAGAATATTTGTACCAAAAAAAAAAAAAAAAAAATCATCCTTTAATTAACTAACTAATTAATTAACTAATCGAAATCAAAATGTGCAGAACGGTGTCGTTTGGTGAATACGAGAGCTACGGGCCCGGAGCCAACTCTACGAATCGGGCCGCGTATGCGAAGCAGCTGAGGCAATGCGAGGCGGCTCCGTACATCGACATCTCATTCGTTGATGGAAAAGAATGGCTTATTTTAAATTCAAAAACAAATTCACTTGATTTTTGTTGATCATAATAATATAATCCAAGCGGATTTTTAATTTTGGTTTTTATTTTTTATTTTTTTTTTGTCAAATTAAGTCACTTTTGTAATGACATGTTTGTTTGCATGCATCAATGTTTTTACGTGGTCCTCACCTACATCCCCTCTCGATATTAATACAGAACGCGCTGAGCCAACGTGGCCGCTTTTGGTGCTTCGGAATCCTATGTGGCAAAATTACATGCTTCGTTATTAGGCTTGGGCAAAATTTTAATTTAATTCCAAACCAAAAAATTAGATTCGGATTACCATAGAAAATATGTTGATTATTTATGGTCATGTTACATGTATTAATTGTATTTTAATATTATTCCGTATTATAACTATTAAATTGTATATATTTTTTAAAAGTTAATAACTTTTGTAGTTTTTATCAGTTTTATATCAAATTAATCTTCTTTTGATGAGCTTCGATTTAACATCCATATTGTATGTATAAAAAAAATAATTTATATTTATCTTTATAACAATAATAAAATTATTGTTAATATTAATTAGAAACATAAAATTATTTATCAACTAATATATTTATATTTCAAGAAGTTATATGATATAAGTTATAAAAACTATTATAATATAACACATGTAAGTCATAAGTAACACATACCATTCTAAAATATATAATAATATATTTTTTTAAAAAAAAAGTAAACTAAATTTAATATGGTTTTTTCATTAATTTTAAAATTTAAGAAT